CCACAACTCACCTCCCAGGCCCAGGCTCCGCTGGACGCTGATGTGCTCCGCCCCTCCTTCCTGCTGTCCTCATGCCTCCTGCCTATCCCCACCCAGCAGCTCCCTAGAGTCCCACGCACCTGCTTAACCCACAGCAACCCAAACACAAGTGAGGGTGGGGCCAATTTGCATCTTGTTTGCATTTTACTGGCTGTCCTGCTGCCAGTTCCTTCTCTGTGACCTCACTGGAAGTGCTTTACTGGGTGCAGCTGGACTATCCTGGAACCGCTGCTGGTTGGGCTGGGGGAAGGGCAAGAAAGGTGGAGAAGTGGCATATACTGCAGCTTCCCAGCCTTCCTCGGCCCCACCCTGCAATGGGGCCCAACTTCCCTTGTTTCTGGGGTCTCTGTGTCTCCAAGAGCCTCTGATCTTTCCTTTAGGAATTCCCACTTGCTGGGGGGAGAGATTGTGCTGGGAGGCAGCGACCCCCAGTATTACCAAGGCAATTTCCACTACGTGAGCATCAGCAAGACTGGCTCCTGGCAGATCAAGATGAAAGGGTCAGAAATCCTCAACCCTCTCCACTTTCCCAAAATGCTGCTGCTGCTGGGAGTGGGGTGGGGAAGGGGCAAGGTTACCATTCTTCCCTCTCTCCAATGCAGCCACTTCTTAAGGCACAGCCTACATTTGTTCTCTGCCTGCTGTCCAGGGATAGGGTACAGAGATGTGAGGGACAGAGGGGAGGGGGGCTTGCTGAGAGGAGGTGGAGGGTTACTAAGCACATGCTAAGGGAGGGAGCAGCACCGTTCTTCCTCTACCACCTGCTTTACCCACCCATCACTGCATCACTGGACCACCAGCATGGCCTCCCATCACCCACCCTTACTCAGAAAAGCTGTGCAGCCTGGTGGTGCCCCATCAGGCCCTGTCTGTCTGTCTGTCTGACTGTGGCCTCTCCTAGGGTGTCCGTGAGGTCGACCACCTTGCTCTGTGAGGAGGGCTGCATGGTGGTGGTGGATACCGGCGCCTCCTACATCTCAGGTCCCACCAGCTCCCTGAGGCTGCTCATGGAGACCCTGGGGGCCAAGGAGCTGAGCACAGATGAAGTAAGAAGCTGGAGGGGTGGTGCCAGGGTTGTGGGAGTGCCACCTGGTCCGGGCCCCCAAATCACCCCAGGCAGCATTAGGTCCCAAATGAAGCCAATTCAGACCTTCAGCTCCTCACCTCTCACACTCTCTTCACGTGTGGCTGGGTCCCCCTGGGTGTGTGTGTGGGTGGGTGGCGGGGGGGGGTGAGGGAACAGTTAGGTCACAAGCACAGGGCTGTCTCTGTTAGGAGACCTCCCACAACTGAAAGGGGCTCCCTTTATCCTCCCCCAGTATGTCGTGAACTGTAACCAGGTGCCCACACTTCCTGACATCTCCTTCCACCTCGGAGGCAAAGCCTACACACTCACCAGTGCGGACTACGTATTACAGGTGAGGCTCCCGTCTGCCCCTTGGAAACAGGCAGGAAGAGTGGGGCAGGGGCCCTCAAAAAGGAATAAGTCATTGTGACAGATTACATACTAGGCTAGCAGTTCTCAAACTTGGCTGTTAAGCGTCACCTGGGAGCTTTTAAGAATCCCAATCACAAACCGCATCCCCTACCTATTAAGCCAGAACTTCTGGGGGTGGCACTTGGGCATCCATGTTTTCAAAACTCCCCAGGTGATTCTAATGTGCAGCCAAGTTTAGGAATCGCTGTGCTAGGTTCCTTCTTTCCATTTTCTCATCAAATGCTTCCAGTAATGCTATGCTCCTGTATTCTTATCCCCCTTTTATACTCAATAGAGTTAGAGATGTTAAATAACTTGCCTAGGATCAGAAGCTCTGCTGACAGTAAGCTGTGCCTGCTGCATTGCGTGCTCAGTGTCTAGCACAGTGCCTGCATCTAGGATGCGTGCAATCCACGCTGGGCTGAAAGGGCCAGGATGCAACCACAGTGCAGTGTGAATGGGGGAGAGGAGGAGGGAAGTTGCTGAGGAGAACAGCTGGAGTCAGGCAAGGTGAGGGCAGAATGGTCACATGTTGGGCATAGGGGAAACCCTTGTGTTTCCTGCCAGGACCCCTACAGTAACGATGACCTGTGCACACTGGCCCTCCACGGTCTGGATGTCCCACCGCCCACTGGGCCTGTCTGGGTCCTAGGCGCCAGCTTCATTCGCAAGTTCTACACGGAGTTTGATCGGCGTAACAATCGCATCGGCTTTGCCTTGGCCCACTGAGGCCCTCTGCTGCCCAGACGGCCCACCCACAGCCCTAGCCCAGAGCTGGAGCCCTCTCTGGGAACGCCCCTGCCTGTGTCTATGTCCTCATGTGGGGGCACAGGGCATGAAGCTCCTCCTGGACACTTGCCCTTCCCCGGCACCAGCTCGTCCCTGCTTTGAGGACAAACAAAATAAAGACTTCATGTTCACCGCCCTGTTGCTCCTGGGTCCACTAGGGTTTGAAACAGAGGGCGGGGCAGCCACGTGATCATATGCACACAGGATGCCAACATGCAGCACAAAGTAACACACACTCACCCAATGTCTAAAGGGCTCCAGTGGAGTTGTTTACACATTCTTTGGTGGGAAGTTTGCAGAGAGCCAGCCCCTTGCCCCCACAACCCCTCAGGGACCAAGGCTAATGCTAAGACAGTAGGCTGCGGGTCAGAAAGATGCTCCCAGTTCATGGAAGCCAGCCCCAAGCTCAGGCTCTGCACTCTGAGCTAGCCAGGCCTGCCTCTCCTGCACTGCAGGCCCCCAGCCCCTGACCCCACCAAGCCACTTACACTGCAGCCCAAGGCATCATCACCTAAAAACATAGAACACTAACGATCTGACTGATACTCCCTTTTTACATGTGGGGAAACCGAGTATCAGAGAATGGAAAGCATTTGGCTGAGATTGCTCAGCAGAGTGTGGAAAATCAAGACTGGAAGCCAGCCCATCTGACTCAGGCCCTAGGGGCTTTCCACCTTCCCACACGCAGGTACATCTCCATAGGGAAAGCCCCCAACACCCTGGCATGGGGCCACATTCCCAAGCACACACTGCCCTCTCCATCTCACAGATTCAGGGCAGGCTGAAGTTTTCTCCCACTTCTACCCCTTGGGCTGTCTGCAGGGGATGTGCAGGTCGGGCGCTGAGAGGCAGCATCCACCTGAAGCCACTGCTACTGTCCCTCTTCATGGTAGCTGCACACACCTCTTTTTTTTTTTTTTTTAAAGCTGAGCCATCCTGCTACCTGTTGCACATCCCTCTTTTGACCAAAAAGGGTGAAGCACTGAGTGGCCTAACCAGGTCCCTGCAAACCTCACATCTCTAGAATGGCAGCCTCTTGGGATTGTGTGGGATCACAGGGCTCCTCTAGGGCAGCATTCCCGCATGGGCAGCATCCCTCTGCAGAGCCAAGAGCAGGATTCTCTGAGTTTGTTTGCCTGCCTGGTTTTATTTCCATACTGCAAAAAGGAAGAGTCTGAGTCACTGCCCTTTCCAGCTCCACATCCTGGGGCTCCATGACCTTAAGTAGCCAGCCCCCCATCATCTCCTACACTAGCCAATATGACAGCCACATATGGCTATTTATATTAAAATTAAATTGTCATACTAGCCATATTTAAAGTGTTGTATAGTCTGGGCCAGCCGAGTGGCTCAGTTGGTTAAGAGCTCACTCAAGAGTGCAAGCTCTGGGCCGGCCGAGTGGCGCAATGGTTAAGAACTGGCTTGGGACACCAGAGGGCCCCGGTTCGGATCCCACATTTGAGGGCCAGTGACACTGCCCTCTACAGCTAAGATGCTGAACAACATCTTGATCTGGGGCTGGGCTGCCGTGGGTCACCAGAGACAGCCTAGGCTGCAGTCCCCTGCTGCAGTGGGCTGCCATAAGCTACCATGTGTAGCCGGCAGCCAGAGTGAGCTACCATGTGTAGCCGGCAGCCAGAGTGAGCGGCCAGCAGCCACCGTGAGTGGCCGTCCAGAGGCCGGCGACTGATCTGCCTCACCCGGGAAAAGCGCAATGATGGTGCCAGCTTGGGCCAGTGAAGCAACATCCTCCACAACTAGACCGAAGAACAAAACAACAGCAACTTGTCTGTTCCCCTTCCCCCGACTCCCCAACGCTGTTCCCCTCCCCCAAGTCCCCAATAAAATATTAAAAAAAAAAAGAGTGCGAGCTCTGAGCAACAGGGTCGCCGGTTCAATCCCCAGCCCGAGCTGAGCTGCCAACAGGTGGCAGGATGGCTCAACTAATAAATAAATAAATAAATAAATTAAAGTGCTGTATAGTCACATGTGGCTATGGCCCAACATGATATAGAACACTTCCATCTTCCCAGAAGTTCCTCTGGACAGCAATAATGATGGGGACTTGTGGTTGAGAAGTTCCTGAATAGGCTAAAGGGACAATTGGGGAAATAGGAAAGAACCCCTTTTCTGTAGAGACTTTTCTGGGTGGGGAAATGAGAGTTCTCCCACTGGTGAGATCCCCATTGGCACACCTACCCCCAACATGCATCACCCAATGTTCCTTCTCCATAGTTTATGCGAGTCTGTGCGTACCGGGATGTTTGCCTGGGGGCTTTCCTGCAGGGAAAGAAAGACCTTTGACCTGCAGCAGGGGCCACAAAGCCTTGTCCAGGAGTCCAGGGACTAGAGGCAGGGAGCTGGACACAGGTGGGCCGCCCAAGCTGACCTCTTGGAAGCAGCAGGATCTTCCTACTGCAGGATGGAGTAGGGGCTCAGGAAGAACCCTCTCCGGGCCCTGTAAGAGGGAGAGAGGCTCCAGCCAAGGTGGGAGAGAGAAAGCCACATTGCTGTCTCAGAAGCGGGGTAGCTAGCGAACCCTGGGTGGGGTGGGGGTAGGGGCGCCCAGGCCCCGCCCCGGCCCCGCCCCCTTGTCACGGCCCTGGCCCCGCCTCCCAACCTCTCGTCACAGCCCCGGCCTCGCCCCCGCTCTTGCGTCACGCCCCCGGCCCCGCCCCCGCGCCGCGTCCTCCCCGGGGGCGTCACCCCGCCCCGCGCTTCAGGTAGCGACAGCCGCAGCAGCGGAGGGTGGCAGGCAGCGCTCTCCGCGGGCCGGGGCCGCTGAGGGCGGAAGGGGGCGTTCCCACGGCCCCCGCCCCGCGGCCCGCGCCCGTGATGTCACAATCGCGGCCGGCCCCGGCGTCCCCGGGTCGGCTTGGGGCGGTGGGCTGCGACGCTGCGAGCGAGGCGGACTGGGGCTCCCGAGTCATGGCCTGCCCCCGGCCCCTCCCCCACTACGCCGCCCCCCGCGCCGGGCCCCCCCGCCGGGGCTAACGTGCGCGCGGCGGCTCCGAGGGGGCGGCCGCTGGGAATGGCTGCACCCCCTTCGGCTCCCGTGCCGCGCTCGACCTTTTACCTGAGGAGGCCGACGCCCGGCCCGCAGTGCTCATGGGGCATGGAGGAGAGGGCGGCAGCCGGCGCCGGCTGCCGGGAGCCGCCGGGCCCCCTGCGGGTCGCCCCCGTCCCGTGCTTCGGCATCTCTCTGCACCAGGACGACATCCTGCCCGGTGCCTTGCGCCTCATCCAGGAGCTGCGGCCGCATTGGAAGCCCGAGCAAGTTCAGACCAAGGTAGCCGAGCGGGTGTGCGGGGACGTTTGTCCGCGCATCCTTCCGGGCCTCGGCCCCAGGGGGCGCGGCTGCTGCACAGGAGGATCGGGATGGGGGTTTGTGTGTGTGTGTTTCCTGATCCATCCACCTCCCGAACACACGCCTCCTCCCGGGCTCGCGGGCTTGCGCCCCGGGAGGTCCACCTGCCCACTGTCCGCGTGCTGCGCTTGCTTGCCCACCCCACTCCCTGTTTCGGTGCGCTGCTGCCCCTCGCAGCCCACCAGCGTGTACCCATCCGGATCTGAAACCGGCGGCAGGAAGTTTTCAGGAAATGCCCCACACTCACAAACATGTTGCTGCCCCTTCTTACCCCGCGGTGGGAGCAAAGCCTCCAGCCTCTGAGCGGCCCCTGCGGGTCCCAGAATTCCGGCCAGCCCCATCGCCCCGGCTGTGACTCTACACCAACACCACCCTCACCCTCCCCCACTCCCACACTGTCCCTCCCCACCAAACCCCCACCCCACCCCACCACACACACATGGCGCCTCCCCGCCCCCTGCTGGGCATATTCTCAGGGACACTGAGGCGCCTCAGGCTGACTCCAACTGACCTGCATCCTCTGAAAAGAGTCGTCACCTGCCCACCGTCCCATCCTCTCTGGGAGCCGCCTGTGGAGGATCTGCCCTGAGGGGGGGCACCTGCAGTTTGTGCTAGAGTGGCAGGGGCGCCATGCCGATGGGCCTTCTGGGAGGGGAAAGGTGAGGTTCAGGAGCAAGTATGGAGGCTGACGGACCCCTCTTAGGAGAGGGTGGGTGGGGAGCATTTTCAAAATGAAAGGCCCACTTTGGTGTAAAAGTGTCAAGACATCAAGCAGGCCTGAGATTTATACCACTACTGGCCCGACATGCTCTCTGCAACTGCCTTCCTCTCGGGGCCTCAGTTCCCTCACCTAGAATTAGTTCAGATGTCCTCTAAGGCTCCTCCAGCTGTGTCACACTGTGCTCTACAAACTCCATTCATTCCTCCTTGTCACCCCCTGGGGGAGCCTGGTCTCCCACCCCAGGGTCTAATGTCTTTTTTGGTATGGAACTCAGAGGCCCTAGGGAGCCCTGACCACAAAAGCCCTGGGGTGGATGCCACCCTCAGTACCCTGGATGGGGCAGGAGGCACGGCAAAGAGCCCTCTGCCTGCAGGCGGTGAGAGGCAGTTGGGTAGAGATGTATGCTTCCTGGGTGATGATCTTGGCCCTCCTCGGCCACATTTTGGTCCATGGAGGTTTCTTTCAGGGCCAGGATGGAGGAGGAAGGAGCGGGAGGGGGCTTCTACCCACCAAGCGGTGTGCAGACTCCTCCACCATCAAATCCTGTCTGCTGGGGACAGGCCAAGGAGACGTGAGGATGCCTAGGCCGAGCCCAAGCTGCCATTGTTTTCTTGAACTCTCTAGTGTACCCCTAGCATTGGGGATAGGGTAGAGCGTTAGAACAGTGCTGAGCTCTTTACTAAGTGAGAGGGTAAAGGACGGGGGATTCTGTGTGCTGGAGCTGAGCAGCCATGGGGCCAGAGCAGACGCCCTGCCCCACACATCGTTGCACTGCCCTCTCCCCAATGCCAGCGCTTCACTGACGGTATCACCAACAAGCTGGTGGCCTGCTACGTGGAGGAAGACATGCGTGACTGTGTGCTGGTTCGGGTGTACGGGGAGCGGACGGAGCTACTGGTGGACCGGGAGAACGAGGTCAGGAACTTCCAGCTGCTGCGAGCACACGGCTGCGCCCCCAAACTCTACTGCACCTTCCAGAATGGGCTTTGCTATGAGTACATGCAGGGCATGGCCCTGGGGCCTGAGCACATCCGTGAGCCCCGGCTCTTCAGGTGAGGAAGGTGTCCAGGGTGTACTATTCATCTCTATGATCCCTAAGGCCTTGGGCTTTGAAATCCTTCACCAGCTTCTATGGTGTAGAGTGGAGTCCATGAATAAGTCATAAGATCTATGAACTCCCTGAAATAGCATGACTGGGTTTGTGTTTATGTGCATTGCTCTGCAAAGAGGGGCTATAGCTTTGTATAGATTTTCAGTGTGGCCTGCTAGAAGGATGAGTCCTTGGGTGAGGCACGTGAGAATTTTAGTGAACATGGGACCAGAGGAACTGGCTCCCTAAATGCAGCAAGACTCACTTTCCTGGCCCATACGTTAGCCCACCCCAAGTCTGACCTGGAAACATCTCAGAGCCTTGGAAATGAAATTGGAGCCTAATCCCCAGAGTGGTCAGGGCTTCCTGCTCCCCCACCCCCACCCCCGAGCTCTGCTATGCTAGGAGAATGGCCCTATCCAGTGTGAGCAGGCTTTTATCAGCCCAGAGAGACACCATCCCTCCCCCAGAGTGAGCTCCTTCCAGATTCCCTGACAAGGTGGGAACCCAGGTTTGGGGAGCTGCCGAGGCTTCCAGAGGCTCAGAACCTATGGAAGCTGTTCCTGTTAAATGTCTGGATATATAGACCCCAGGAACTGTGGGGCCTGGAAGGGGAAGAACCAAAGAGCCCAGAGTGCTCTCTCTCCTCTGACTGTGCGGGGCAGGGAGGTCAGGCAGAATCCACCGTCCTTCCTCCAATGCTATCCATGTGCAGGGTACTCAGACTAGAACGAGGTCCCAGGCGGGCTGAGGTTTACTTCTGACACCGGGGACAGTGGCACAGGGGTCTGCCCAGGAACCTTGTGCTCTGTCGTGTCCCATGGACTGGGAAGGAGCCTTCCAAATCCCGAGGGGCAACAACAAAGCCCACCTGGGGAGCAGCTTCTTTGACCAAGAAGCTTCTTTGACCCTTCACTTGCTACCCAGTTAACCCCAAGTTAATGCCCCTGGCCCTATTTGCAGGGAACCCTTGGCAGGCCCTCTGGGGACTTAAGGGCATCTGAGAGCTTCACCCCACCCCGTGCTCATGAGCACTGCCTCTGGAACTAGTGAGGCCCCAGGATGTTAGTGTTGAGTGGTTGTTGTAGTTGTGTGTGTGTGTGTGTCTTGGGTGAGGGCATACAAACCCATGCGAGGGGCTTCTCAGGATCTAGCTGAGCAGCTCCACTTGCTCCCAGCCTGGAGAGGTGAGGTCAGAGCAGGGTGCGGGGCTGGGGGTCCTGTCCTGGCTTCCCCCACCAACTGCTCCCAGCTCATGTGCAAATAAGCTCAAATATTGGCAGGTCCTCACCACTCCCAGGCTCCACCCCCTCACCCCACCCCCCATGAATCTAATGCTGTCACTCATCCTCTCATAGAAACAGTTACCGTTGTCAGGAAGATTGAAGGTGGATTTAGGTTGGATAATAAGAACTTTACATTTGGAGGAAAGCCAGAAATTGGGCAAAATATAGGAAGTAGCCCTTCCTTGATACTTTCCCCAGGATAGACCATTATGTTACTTGGGTGAAGGTGGGTCTCTGAGGAAAAGGCAGAGGAAGGCCTCTGGGAGCCACCTCCGCATGTTGCCCTGAACCCTACCTTTCAACCTCTGCCCGTTGAGGCTTTGCAACATAAAAATGCTGAGTGTTGAGGTTACTTTCATTGCTATTCCAGACAACAGCCTTATTGATATTCAGGGAAACGCTCTGTTCATGTTCTGTTAGGAATCTTCCTTTGGAAAAGGAAGGCCTGGTTCTTAGGTCTGTTTCCCCAGCCTTGCCCAAACCCCAGCGGGCTCTCTCCTACCCCAGGCCTCTGGCCTCTGAAAGTACAGCTGAACTCTCATCCACTTGGTTGCTGCCACTCCCTCTGCCCCCTCCACCCTTTAGGAGGTGGGAGCCTTGGAGGCTTCCATAGGAGCCCCTAGATTGCCCTGTTATCTTGTTGGGCAGTGGCCTCCCTTCCCAGGACCTAGCAACCGGAAGGGGTGTCCCTGGAACTGCTGGGCAACAAGGTTTCAAACAGCCAATGCCTTTGTTGTCTTTCCCAGCGATTATTATTCGAGCAACAGGCAGAGGTAAGGAAGCTTCAATGTTGGAGACTTGGCAGTGGGTGGGGGATGGGGCTCCAGAAGGGAGAGCTGGCAGAGGCCTGGGGGAGCCCAGTTGGGACACAGGGCCTCAGAGGCTGGGGTCCTTATCAAGGCCCTCCCTTTCTGACTGGTCAGTCCTCCATCCACCCCCGCCCTCTCCCAGCAACCTTCCCCAGCGCTGCTTTTTTCTCTCCCCATTGCCCCCTCCTTCTCTCCTGGGACCTTGGATAATGTCCACAGGAGAACTTGAAAATAGAACGCTGGTTTGTTTTGCGTCCTTGGCATCCAGCCGCCAGCATCAACTCCCTGCTGCAGAGGAAGGGGCTGCCCTGGGCCCGCCTGCTTCCCTCCCCACCTTGGCCAGGCTGATAAGAGACAGGCATTTCTTCTGTGCCTGGCATCACCACCCCCTGATCCCTTGGTGCCCTGTGTTCACCTCCCCCTGAGGGCATGGGTCAGAGTCCAAGGGGGGTGGAGTGGCACCGCCCCCACCCCCAAGTGACCCTCTCTGTCCTCAGGTTGCTGTGGGTACACGACCTGGGTCACTGACCTGTCGTCAACAGCCCACTGCTTTGCTCTTCTGCTGACTGAAGCAGCCCCAGCTCTGGTTCTGGAAAGGGAGCTGTTGGGCTAAAGGCCTTATCTCATTTTCATGCCTTCTGCTGAGATGAAGAGCTCTTAAAAGATTTGTAATAGTCCCACACTCAGCCCTCTGGCTAGCTCCCTCTTTCTGGGCCCACCCCACACTTGATACACCCCACGCTTGATACTGTACCCTTTCTCTTTTCTGCTGTAGGCTAATCGCCTTAGAAATGGCAAAGATTCACACCATCCACGCGAACGGCAGCCTGCCCAAGCCTACTCTCTGGCACAAGATGCACAGTTATTTCACCCTTGTGAAGAACGAAATCAACCCCAGGTACAAAGATCTGAGAGGAGTCAAGACTGCCACTGTCTCTACCACCTTAGTGTAATCCCCTTCCCACTCTTTTGCTTCCCATCCCACTCCACAGGAGGCTTGGGGGTTTCAGTCCTAATTGCTGAGCCTCTGTCTCCAAGCAGAGTTGGGCCAGTTGAGTAAATCTGAGGACTTAGATCCACAGCTTTAGACCCATGTCCACTTCTCCTTGAGTCTTCTGGTTGTGGCAGGGCCTAGGGTTCAGGACAGTATCTCCCCATTGTGCTTAAAGGATCCTGAGGCTCAGAGACTAAGCTTTGCCCAGTCAGGGTCTAGTCATAGGCAGGCTTCTGCTCCCAGCCCCCGGTCCTTTTTACCTGAGCTGCCTTCTTTTTTTTTTTTTAAGCTGAGCCATCCTGCCACCTGTTGGCAGCTCAGCGGCTACTCAGCTCGGGCCGGGAATCGAACCACTGTTGCTCAGAGCTCGCACTCTTGAGCGAGCTCTTAACTGACTGAGCCACCCGGCCAGCCCTGAGCTGCCTTCTAAGCAATGAGATGTGAGAGCCCAGCCCTCTGAAAATGGTGCGACGTTGAGTTAGAGTTAGTCCGAAGGAGCTGGCTCATCCGCTGACAAGTCCTTAGGACATCAAGACTCCTGCTACTTGCCTGGACACTTCTCGCCCCCATATGCCGCTAGAGACCCTGTTCCCCACCGTGTTGTTCCCTCTGTCCTTTTCATCCATCCTGACATCACCTTTCCCCAGATAAGACAGGGTTCCTGGAACCTTCCCTTACACACTCTGGCCAGCCACCTGAGAGTCCTTCTACCCTTCAGATACCTGACTCTCAGGCACACCCTTGAGTACTGAGAAAACAAGGAGGCAAGGTGGAAAGAGTGGTGTCACCCTGCCCTCTCCAAAAAAAAGTCTTGAACATCACCCTTGTTTCCAGATGGGAGTGGGGTACACAGGTTTGGCGGCCCGGTATCTCTTTCTCCTTGAAGAGATCAAGACAATAATGAACTCTGTCCCGATTGTGTAGCTCTGTCATACTCTCGCACACACGATGATTTTATCTGGATTGTCCCGCTTGAGGATTGCCAAGCACTGCTTTGGGACTATTTGTCCAGCATGGCCCATGTTTAGACTTTCTGTGTCAAGTGTTATCTTTGGGACAAGGACTGCCTTGCCCCTTAGGACTATAACAGCACATGGAGAGCAGGATCCTCTGGTGTCTGAGCCAAGAGGAACCTATTATCTCCCAGCCCACCACTTTCATTTGACAGGTGGAGAAACTGAGGCCAAGGGTGGGGATGGGACTTGTACAAGGTCATTGCTATCAGTGGCAGCTCAGAGACTAGAGTCCAGGCTCGATGCTTAAGCATAACTTTTGCTACTGAGCTTCCTTTGACTCTGCTGTCACTGTGTAACCTTTCGGGGGGTGGGGGAGCCAGGGAGGGGCGGGAATGACCTTGTTGGAAGGGGAGTGGTCGCTGGAGAAGAGCTGGCAAACTCCATTTGCTCTTGTCACACCTTTGACCTTGGGCAAATCAGATTGCTTAACTTTTTTGAGCCTCTTTAGTGGATGATGCCTGCCCTGAATGACCTACCCTGACCCAGAGCAATCACTCAGATGAGATGAAGTACTTGAACTCCATAAGAACCCTGCCTAATAACTTGCCTAATAGCCCTGATTTAGTCCATCCTTCATCTTACAAACATTGATTGATTAGGATTTAAAAGAATAAAAAACACCAAGGTGACAGCAGCCCTGCCTACAAGCTGCTTAGGAACCCTGTCGGTAAATAGGACCTGCCCACGCAGAGCTGTAGAAGAAGGCAGGGTGTGTAGTGCATGCAGGGTAGGAGAACCAGAGAAAGTCTTCTTGACAGAGATGCGAAGGGAGGACCCTCCAGCTGGAGGAGACGGCATGAGGACGGCTTGCACAGGGATGACGAGTAGATGAGTTGGCTGGAGCAGATCTTTTAGGAGGGGTTGGGAGAGATCATTTGAGATGGGGCTGCAGAGGTCATGTGAGTTGGAGCTAGATTGTGAGGGGCTTTCAATGCCAGGTTAAGGAACAAAGATTCAGTTTAGCAGCAGTGGGAGATTATTCACTCATTGTGAAGGTGTTTGAGCTGGGGACTTAGGTGGAGGAAAAAAGCTTTCCAGCTTTGTGAAGGACAGACTTGGGTGGGAGTTAGGGAAAGAGGGGATTTGAGGTAGGGAGACCAGCTGGAGGAGTACTGAAGTTGAATGGGCAGCATGTAGCACTGGGGTTCCCAAAACTTGATCATGAAATTCCCTGGGTGCTTGCTAAGTGCAGGTTCCCATTCTGACCCTAGAGAGTGACGGGAGGTCTCACGTTGGATTCTAGGAGTCTGCATTTCACAGGCTCCGTGGTGATTCTGAGGCAGGGGATCAAGGAACCACATTTGGAGAAACTGCCCTGGGCAGCTTCATGGGGATGGGGTGGAGTCAGAGACCTTGTGGAAATAGATGTAGCCTTGGTGTTTGGGTGGGCATGGAAATGTCCAGAGTGGCCAGGAGGACATGGGGTTGGTAATGGCCTCGGGGGGCATCAAGAAGAGACTCAGGTGGGCCGAGTGTGTGAGGATATTGGTGATGTAGCTCGAACACTTAGAAAGCCCACCGTTCCCCCGCCCAGATCCTGAGGGCAGAGTGGACACTTGCCAGGCATCAGTCCCTTCATCAGGAGCAACCCCAGGCCCTTTCACCCCCTTCCTGCGGCCTCTGAGGAACAGAGGAGCAGCCCTGCCTGGGGTATGAAAGTTTCTGAGATGCGGTAGTGGTGACTGTTGTGCCAGCCCCACAGCCTTGAGAATGTGGTGGTGTCAGGGCTGAAGGAAGCCACATTGGCACTGTTTCAGGTGCTCGGGGGAGGGAAGTAGAAAGCTGGGATTGTTCCCACAGTAACCATCTGTGTGGCCTTGGGGTGAGTAGTGTGAGGGTCAGACCGATGTCAGGGCCCGGGCAGCAGACATCTTGAATGTCAAAACCATGATTTTCAGGCTGAGAAAAGCTCCTAATTCTTATCTTTGGGTGGTCTAAGTCCAAGAAAAAAAAAATCTTAAAAGGAAAGGCAGCTTTTTAAGGAGAGCCAAGAGGGAAACAAATTCTATGCAGCCCCGTCGATACAGATAAACTCCAGTGAGGATGGGATGGGGGCAAGGGGTGGGAGGCCTCCCTGGATCGGACCCTAATAGATGCTCAGACTCAGAGTGGCCTGTGCACTGGGGCCCTTGCGGTTAGGAGGCCCGGCTTGATTTTGGATCCTTGGACCAGCTGAGGACTGCTTTCCTTAGTGAGGAAATAGAGGGTCCAGCTGTACAAGAGACATTTGGAGGCTGGGAGGAGGACTGCCCTTCCTTGGGCCTCAGTTTCCCCAGGAGGTTGGGCTAGAGACCTAAGATCCTCTTTAGCCTTGGCCTTCTCCAGCCTGGGAGGGAGCCTGCCGCACATCCTTTTCTGGGGACACATGGAGATGCCTTAGTTGCTCAGTACTCTTCCATGTGTTCTGTCTGGCTTTGGGCTGGGTGAGGGGGTGGTGGGACTGAACCCTGGGAGCATCAGAAGGCCCTATCTCCTCCTCATTCCCCTGCCTGTAATCTTGCTGCCCTGGACAAGAGAGCAAACAGGACACACATGAGTGGTGATAAAACCCTAGCGCCCTCCCCTCCTCCCATTGGTGGTTCCAGGTTTTTAAGGGCTCTGCTGACTACTTGGCTTTTCAGTGCACACAGACGGACCTGTGTGCTTCCTGGGGACCAAAGTTCAGAGCTTCTGAGCACAGTGTACCCTTGTCAGCTTCTCCATGGTCTCTGATGGACCCATTCATTCATTCCTCAACATGTATTTCTTTCAGCAGCAATGCCTGTGTGTGCTGTGGATGGGGTGGGGGCAGAATGACCTCCATGCATCTTTGTTCCTGCCCTCAAGTTGCCCATGCCCAGTCTGGCAGGGGTCTGGTACAAGGAAACACACAGTCCTAGTTCAAAGAGGAAAGAGCGCGATATGAAGGAGCTACACAGTAAATGCTTTTCCATTGAGAAGGGCTTCCTTTTGGCCCGATAGGAGTGAGCCCAAGCAAGCAACTAGCTTCCTTTCTTATGTGGGCCTGAGTGGTCTATCTGTGTGATAAGTTAGACTGTACGATCTCTGTGTGACACCAGCTGCTGCAGCGTGAGGGAGACACACCAGGGCATACCTCTCTGCCTCCTCAAGACAGCACCCACACTCCAGCCCCACCCTGGCGCACTGTGATCCCTCCACTTGAGGAACTTTGAGGGGAGAGTTGTTTTAGAGAGCTACCCCTCCCCCTAGGAATTTTCCTACATTCTAGGGGGCAGGTCTGTTTGCATCTCTGCCCTGCTGCCCTTGTTCTCTTAGTCTGGGATGAGTGGGTGTGGACACCCATCTTCACCTCCCCTGTCCTCTCTCATGCCTCCTTCCTTACCTCCCTGTCCCTTTTATGAAGTAGCAGGGACGCCGTTCAGTCAGGGATTTGGGTGCTTTATAAAATGCTTTTAAGCCAATGTTTTAATCAGCTTCTTAGAGTAACCACAGGACACCAGGACAGGAAGCCTTAGTGCCTTCTTACAGATGACAAAAGGGAGGGTCTGAAAGGTCGGCCATTTGTCCAAGGTTCTCCCTCTGCAGTAAGAGGTAGTGAGGGGGCCAGAGCTCAGGGTTTTGAGACCAAGCACCTGCCTATCTGCTGTCAGCCCTCCCTCCACCGGCTACCTTTCTTGGCACTGTCCAGCCTCTCTGCAGATGTCCCTGAGATAGAGGTGTTGGAACGGGAGCTGGCCTGGCTGAAGGAGCATCTGTCCCAGCTGGACTCCCCTGTGGTGTTTTGTCACAATGACCTGCTCTGCAAGAATATCATCTATGACAGCACCAAAGGTATGACTTCTTTGGCACTGGCTGGCCGGCAGAGTTCTATTCCTCAGGCTGGTACTTGGACGAGCAAAAGGGGCCCTTTTGGCTTAGGTCTTAAGTGAATTTGTAGAAGAGAAATGGAAAAGGAAGCACATTCCCACTTAGGAAAATCTGTGCCAAGAAAGAACTCAAAGTCATGGTTTGTGGGAGTCTTCAACATTAGGGCACCTGAGCTATTCCTCCTGACTACATTTTGGGTTTCTGAGGACATCTTGGCTGCCCCACACCTTCCTAAAAGGAGAACCATCCATGGTCCTGATGGGAGTTTATTATGGTCCTTAACCATGCTGAGGACAGATGTCTTTATATGGGGAGAGTCTGAGGAGGCAGCTATGTGAGAGGGATAGCTGGAACCCGGGGAAGGGCAGATGGAAAAATGGACAGACAGAAGGAAGCAGCTTAGAAGATTGCCGCTGAGGAGGTTGGGTAAGACCAGTTTGCTGCAGAGGCCAGTGAGAGGCAGTGGGTGCATTCTGGAGGTCTTTGGAAGCTTGACCAAGCCCTAAGACCAGATCTCCTGGGGCCAACCCTCATTGCCTCTCTTCTGCCTTATAGGTCATGTACGGTTCATTGACTATGAATATGCCGGCTACAACTACCAAGCTTTTGACATTGGCAACCACTTCAATGAGTTTGCAGGTGAGAAGGGCATTGCTATTTTGGTCTGTGTCCAAGATACCCGCCTTATGATGGATGGTCAGGTCCAGGGGAAAGATGAAAGGGGGTTCTTTACTTGGGGGAAAAAAGGGGGAGGCTAGACAGCCCCCGTCCCATCCTCCGAAATATCCCAGCTCGAGGGGGAAAGATACAACTGGGCTTGAGAGAGCGCCAAGTCTCCACCTACGTAGAGCACACCTCTGCCAGCCCATACGGCAGTTTGGTACAATTAGGAAAACGTGCCCACTGTAAGATCCCTGAGAATACCTCAGCTTAGCGTGTGAGTTAGAAGAGCCCTTCCTCTGGGTGTATGCAGCCCATGCCAGCTGGACCAGCACAGGACACCCTCAACTTCCACTTGTTCCCTTGTCCAAACTCCTTTATACAGCCTGCACAATGGTAAATAAGGGTCCAGCATACAGATAAGGAGAAGAATAAGTTGCAAATAGCTATTTGCCTGGTGGCCTGATGAGTATAATCTACGTGGAAGTAGGTAAAATTGTATACTCTGCAACTTGACTCCTAAAAATCCTGGCTTTGTTGCTTACTAGCTGTCTGACCCTTGAGTTTCTCTGTGCTTCTGTAAAGTGGAGATAATAATAGTACCTACTTCATAGTATTGATATGAGACACACATACACAAGGATGGCACATACTAAGCATATGTTGTTGTTTGCTGCTGATGTTAGGAAGGGAAGCTTTCCTGTAGCTCAGGAGACTGGAGCAGGACTGGAAGAGGTTTCCTAGGAGTAAGTAATAGCACTATAAAGGCACAGTATGTAGAATAGAATCATTTGTGTAAAGGAATCAGGGCAGGTTTTTCTGGCTTAAGGGCTTAATTGCTAAAAACAATCGGATGGGACTGCAGAACCTAGACCCTAGACACAGGTTGGAAGGACATTCCCAGGATGGCTGTGTGAGGTGCTCAGCGTGATGTGGCCAGCCCCTGAGACTTAGGATAAGTAAGGCAGCTGTAGAGCCACTACCTGGCCCAGCCTCAGCCACTCCCCAGCCCAGTCATGTCTCGTCTGGAGCCCCAGGTGATAGGTCTGTCAAGTGCTGATTGTACCTGAGGGTATGACTCCCCAGGGTGGCCACTAGCTGCATTGAGGAACCGAGGGATTATGGGCCCCAGCTGAGCTGTGGGGAGTGGCACAGAGCTAAGGCTGGCACCAGCAGGGAACTGGGCCTGTGTGTGCTCAGCTGCCAGACCCACTGGCCTTTCTACAAGGGATAATTCTTAAGCATTTTAAGTCTTTCTCACACTCAGCGCCTCCTATGTGACATAGTTTTATATAGGGCACAGGAGAGACAGTGGTGCTGTCTTAGGGGGTCCCCATCACTCCCAGGACTGTCCCTTGCCCCTCAACCACTCTGCCCCCTGCCCCACTGAAAGCAGTGTCCCCTGCTGGGGTGGGGCTCGACCCTGTACACACTAGATAAGTTAGGTGGTCTGACAAGCTGAATTCTTAGGCACAGCCCACGGGGCAGAGCAGATGGAAGTTTTCAGGGGAGCATGGAACACCTGAGCTGGAGGAAGTCCCCAGGTGGGCCATCTCCCAGCAACTTCTATGCGGCTGCCTCCCCATCAGGTGTAAATGAAGTCGATTACTGCCAATACCCTGCAAGGGAGACCCAGCTGCAGTGGCTGCGCTACTACCTGCAGGCACAAAAGGGGATGGCTGTGACCTCCAGGGAGGTGGAGAGGCTCTACGTGCAAGTCAACAAGTTTGCCCTGGTGAGTGCTTGTGACTGGGAAGGAGGACCCGGGAGGAGGACTCGGGGCCCACCTCCACTACCCCTTCACAGCCCGGTGGAGGGCGAAGCCCAGCCCAGGGTCAGATGTGAGGTCCTGGGGACACCCCCCCACCATGTGTTACTGTATCCCCCCTGGAGGGCATCCCCATAAGACACCCTGCTCCCCCGACCCCGTCAAGTCTATGTTCTCTCCTTCCTAGAGAACTACTACTTCTGGGAAAGATCCCAGCTTCCTATTCCTAGTTCTCTCATTTGGACAGGTACTTTCTGGTGTCTAACCATAACCTTTCATGCTGCAGTTAAACTCATCCCCTCACTGTTTTGTTGGCCTTTGGAGGAGATAGAGAGTGTCAGCTCTAATCCTCCTTGTTAGCTGCCTCTGCTGACTCAGAACTCTTCGCAAGCCTTTCCCAGCAGGCTCTTCCTGCTCCAGTTACTGTGCTGTCAGTTCTTGATGTTGCGTGTCACTTATCCAAGGTACATGGTTCATGCCAGGTCGCCACTGGTGTGTGCCCAGGGGATTGCTAACTAGGCTTATTCATGTCACCCATGCATAAGCAAGAAAACAGTCAGCTGCCCTGAATTTCACAATCCATCATAGAGCTCAAGTAAAATCTTGCTTACCTGGGATTTTAAGTCGCCTGTTCTCTTCTCATTCGCACAAGCCTGATTCTCCTTCAGGTTTTCCCTCTTTTTTTTTTTTTCTTTTTTTTTAAAATTAGTTTCAGGTGTACAACATTGCAATAGTTTTTACCCCTCAAAGTGACAACACCCCTCTCCCAATCCGCCTCCCCACTGCCCCCCTCATATTATACATATCTATCACAATTCCACTGACTCCACTCCCACACTATACTCCACGTCCCGTGACCATATATATATATATATATATATATATATATATATATATATATATATATATATTCAATTATAGTTGACACAATATTGTACAACATCACTTCAGGTGTACAGGCTCTCCCTCTTAACTCCCACCCTGCCTGCCTCTTGCTGATTTTATAGTGATCATTCGTACTTGCTAATTGATCTGTGCCTCCCTTTAAGTCCTGAAAAGGGAAGAAAGTGGAGGGAGGTACCGCATCACCGACCGCAGAGCAAGCGGGGCTTGGCGTGGGGGAGCCGGCCTGGGAAAGGACCGTTATCACTGCCGTCGGTGCAGGGCCAGCGGGAGGCAGCACTGCTCTCTGGCCTCTTGAGCCTGGATGACCTGGGCGCCTCTGGCTCCGGGGAGAGCAGTTGTGTGCTGAGTGCCCACACTCGGGCTTCTTACTCCCCCGTCTTCACTCCTTTGCCAACCTGACCCTGCCTCCTGATAGAAGAGAGGGCAAGGTCAGTTTAGGGGTCATCCAGCAGACCAGACCCCTGCTGGTCAGGGCACTGCTGAGGTACCAGCCCCTCCACTGGGCCTGAGCTTTGGCTTCGGGGTTCATCTCGTCGTGGATACGTTGGCCTTGAAGACTTGAGGAGATACCCTGTTGTGGGAGAAGCCACGGGCTGAGCACTGCTGGAGCTGGGAGGAAACTGAAAGCCCTAGAAGCACCATCCAGCTGACACCCTTCCAGGGCGGGTAGAACCGACTCTACTTGCCTTTTTCTGGAGGGAGTGCAGTTCCCAAATGCTTGTCTCTGCCAGCGTCCTACTTCTGTGTTTTCCAGAGTGACTGTGTCCCTCTAGCTCCATGGGGTCCGTGACAGCCTTGGGAGTTCGCCATGCTAACCTTCTCTGCTCTGTTTCTAGGCGTCTCATTTTTTCTGGGCACTCTGGGCCCTCATTCAGAACCAGTTCTCCACCATCGACTTTGATTTCCTCAGGTGAGCACAGGGGACAAGTTGGGGGCAGCGTGGGTGGGGAGGAGAAAAGGAAGAGCCTTGAGCCGAGGGTGTAGGGGCAAAGGACAGCCCAAATAGAGTATCCAGAGTCCAGTCCCCTGCTAACTCATCCCGATACTAGCCAGCCTGTGGCCAGCGGGGTCACTACTCCAGGGGGAGGCCCTGGGGGCCCAGAGCAGCCCTCTGAGGGCGCCTGAAGTTCTCATGCCCTCCCCGCCTGCCTGCCTGGTGGGACATTATACTTTCCCTGCATCCTGCTACTCCAGTGCCCTTATCCACAGGGACTGGTTGTGAATAGAATTGTTGCAAATCCATCTGGAAGATCGTGAGAACAGCCCTCATTTTAGAGCAGAGGAGACAGCTTTCCAGAGAGTGGAAGTGACTCAGTGAAGTCAGCCTGTGGGTGTCAGACCCAACTCCTACAGTGGCCCCTAGTGATGCGCTATGGGCTGTACCCACACTGTACTTGAAGATTGACTCCTCAGGGCGGTCCCCTCATATGCGGTACATATGTCCCTGAGGGCCAGGAATCATTTTGTCTTCCATTCTGGTCCAGTCTCCTTGCCCATTTCCCCACCCACCGTCAGCCAAAGAGGAATCACTACCCTGGCTTCAAAGTGTTCACAACCATTAGAGAAATGCAGGTCAAAAGCACAGTGAGATACTACTCATATCCACTAGGATGACTGCTGTCAAACAGAAAAGAACAAGCACTGGCAAGGATGTAGAGAAACTGGAACCCTTGTGCAGTGCCCTTGGGAATGTAGAATGGTGCAGCTGCTATGGGAAACAATCCTGTGCTTCCTCAAACCATTAAAAATAGAGTTGCCACATGTTCCAGTAATTCCACTTGTGGGTATATAGCCAAAAGAATTGAAAGCAGGGGCTCAAAGAGATATGTGCACACCCATGTTCACAGCAGTATCATTCACAATAGCCAAGAGGTGGAAGCAACCCAAGTGTCCATCATTGGATGAATGGGTAAACAGAATGTGGTAAAATACAATGGAATATTATTCCGTTTTAAAAAGGAAGTTATATCACCTGCTACCATATGGATGAACCTTGAGGGCATTGTGCTAAGCGAAATAGGCAAGTGCAAAAAGATAAATACTGTATGATTCCACTTATATGAAGTAACTAAATTAGTCAAATTCGTAGAAACAAAGTAGAATGGTGGTTTCCAGGGGCTGGAGGAGGGGGAAATTGAGTTGCAGTTTAAGGGGTATAGAGTTTCCGCTTTGCAAAATGAAAAAGTCTTGGCGATCTGTTGCCCAACGGTATGAATGTACTTAACATTACTGAACCGTAAAAAGTTAAAAAATGACCTTGTTCAAGGCAGGGTTGCTCCCATCTGATCTAAGAAGAAAAAATTATAGTTGAAGTTAAACAAAAATCAGCCTGGGCTGGGGTTGATCTGCCTCGACCTAGACAGGCTGAGCTGATGAGAAACTCTGCTCATAGTGTGAGTCCCCCAGCAGGGCCCAACTAGCTTCCCTTTTGACCCCCAGCTCCCTTCCCTGTCTTCTGGCAGGTACGCGGTGATCCGATTCAACCAGTACTTCAAGGTGAAGCCTCAAGTGTTGGCCTTGGAGATGCCAAAGTGACCATCGTCCCCACCCCTCCCCTCCCCATCTGCCTGGCAGGCTGTTTCTCCAGGACTCAGCTCTGCTCTGGGGTCCATACCCTTGGACAGGGTGGGAGAGGGGACAGGTATGTGTCCAGAGAAGACTCCACCCCTGCCACCAGCCCCCATCCGGTGCCGCTGTGACCACATTCTCTTGTTTGGAGGGGCTGATGGACCCAGCTCTGGGGGTCCCCTTTACCTGACTTGGGGGAAGTGCCTGCAGCCAGCCAAGGCCCAGACCACAACCACCCCTGGGAAGCCTGGTGCTCCCAGCCCCAGGCCAGGCTGCCTTAGATGTGTCTTTGACCTTCCTGGTTTGGGGAGGGGGGAAGGTTGGGAGGGCTCCTTTCTACCTCCAGTGCCCTGAGCCTCCAGCCCATCTCCCCACAAGGCCCCACGTGGGAGGTGCTGAGCCCAAACCAGCATCATGCCAACTCTGACAGATGGATGTACATACCTTGGGGGGCGGGAGGGGGGTGTCTAGAATCGAGTTTGACAGCTCCCCAGCAGCTGCCTCGTCTGAGATCCCTCCCTTTCTCCAAGCCGGATCCAATCAAATCACCCCTTCCCAAAACTCAGTGAGGACTCCTGCTCCCCTCCTGTCATTCCCGCTGCAGCCTGCTGGGAGGGAAGGTGAGGGCGTGGTGATGGCTGGACATCCAGAGCCCGGCTCTCATTTCATGCTGTGACTTGACAGAGGAGACAGCGCACCCCCCACCCCCGCCTTGTTCCTTCCCCTGCCCTCCAGGCCCTCATTTCCAAGGATCTGTCCATGACCACCTTCTGTCCTCAAGTTGACCCAGGGGCTCCCCACTTGGGAAAGACTAGTCAAGGGGCAGGGACCAGGGACCTGCAGGGCCCGCCTGGCATGTGAGAGCCTGGGTTGGAAGTGCTGACTGAGCCCATTGCGCCTGACTCAAGGGCCACCACCTCCCTTTTGCCCTCAGCCCCTGGGGCCTTCAGCTTGGGCCCACAAGGTGATTCATTTGTAAATTGTCTTGATTTTCTGCATTAAAATGGCCATTTCTGGACCACTCTGAGTGCAGCTGGTGGGGCTTTGACCTAGACAGTGTGATTAGCAAGCCTGTGGTGGGAGTGGGGGTGTCCCAGCCCCTTCTCTGGGGTCCCCTTGGGCTACACACTTTGCAGCACGTCTTCCGTGCACCTGGCTTACCAGGCCTGGGCTCCTGGTTTGGGGTAGACCTGGGGAGGGCTGGTGGCTTCAAGCTCCTCCGCCTTGGACCATCTTGCTAGAATTGGGGGGTGCTGCTTCGAGGAACTACACCTTACCCAGGTGATAAACCAGAGACCCTGAAGGGCAGTACTCAGGACTTCTTCCTTGGTCCTCTCTGACTCCTAGGATCGGGGGTAGGTAGGAGGCTGCGCGGCCTCACAGCAGGCGAGGGTGACTCCTGAGACCAGCCTGCCGCTTTCTCAGAAGGCGAGAGGGAAGAGAGAGCAGGAGCTCAGACGTGAGCTGTGGCTCCCTCAGCAGCCCAGACTTGCTAGGGCTGCCCTCCCAAGACAGCAGCAGCTGCCTCTACAGTCCCCCAGGTGCCATGCCCTTAGGGGCAGCAGTGGCCGCCTGCCAGGTGGACTCTGGTGGTTTGGCTTTTGCCTGCAAAAGTACCAGGGTGCCATGGCAACCGCTGGACCTGAGCTGGCACAGGCAGCTGGCGCTGCCTTCAAGGTCATGGTGATCCAGTGTGGCTGGGCCCTGACGGGCAGCAAGACTGAGTCTAGGGGTGGTGCCAGGGCTGGGCTGGCTGGGCCCCCAAGTGTCATCTGTGGGCTCAGGTGGTCCTGGTGCCGCCTTCCTGTGGACTGTTGCAGTGCCCCCCTTCGCACCTCTGGAGCTGAGGGCAGGAATGACCACTGTGAAGGCAGCTTGTCTCCAGCCCTCTGGGCCCTTGATGTCATGGCGTTGAAGATGGTGTTGCGGTGGTGAGCAGGGAATGGCTGGGACAGGCACCCCTAGGTATCATCCTGTGCCGCTAAGGCCCGGCCACCACCAGCCCTGAGGGGTTAACCTGCAGACGCCATCCTGTAGTCTTTGTAAAAGCATCCAGTGCCTCAGTTCTCCAGGGGAGAAGGCTGGTGGTGGCAGCATGGGGGCACTTTAGGCACACCCTCGCCCATAAAGCCTGGAGTTCCACCGTCACTCCTTTCACTGCTACTCCAGACTGACTGCATCCCTACCTTCCTGCTTAGTACCAGGCCTTGGAGATTCCGGAGGGTGGCCTGGCTCCACCCCCTAAGCCTCTTCCTAGACTCCCAGTAGGTGCTGTCGGCAAAGCATGCCTGGGCATAGGTTTATCTCTGCCGGGCTGTGACCCTCGGCCTCCACAGGAGAGGCACAGAGGGCACAGAACAAGCTCGGATCCTGGCATTCTTGGTCATTACCAGGACACGCTGTTCCAGGCCTCGGAACCGCAACCCACCTGACCCTGTCGTGCCTCTGCTGGGGCGGGGGGTGGGGCTACAGGACACCAACCAGAGGGCTTTTCCTATCCTAAAAGGATGCAAGGCACGTGGCTGTGTCGCAGCAACTAGAATGAAGAGGGCAGGACAAGGGTTCCTGGAGCGGGGAGATGGGTGGGACTGGCCTCAGGCTCCCAAGGCCACAGAGGACCTGGGAATAGGGTAAGGGAGAGGAACTCAGGACTGGCAAGTGGGGCGGGTGAGCCTGGCTGGGAGTGTCCTGACCAGGCTGCCCACATTTGGTTTGGAACACGGTAGGGGTAGTAGTGGAGACTGCTGGGGTTGGGGTAGATGGACAGGGGAAGTGGAAATGGGCAATTCTCGCGTGTGGCCACTAGAGGGCAGGCACCATGCTTCTCGTCCAAGGACCGCCTGCATCTTAAGAGCCCAGGGAAGCCGGGCTCCACTTGGGAGACATGGGAGACCAAGGAGAGAACCCAAAGCTCTGGGAGGCTGGGCTTGGAAAAACGAGCAAAAGCTAGCAGCCAGGACTCTCTCTAGATCAAAAGGCTGGGACCCTAAAGTCTTCAGTCCCAAGTTTGTGACCCTGGAATCAACCACACCTAACTTTCTCACCACCATCCTCCAATTTAAAGTCCCTTTGCAGCATTTGAAGAGCCTGTCTTGTGTTAGTAAGTTCGCTACCACTTTGAACATCTTTGTCAAAAAGTTTTTTGTTAAGCCAAAATATTGACCCTTGATATGCATCAAGAAGCCAAGTTCTACCTCGTGAGCTAAAGACTGTATGTTGCCTACCTGACATCTTTGAGGAAAGTGGTCTTATCCTTTATGCCCTACCCTAGTTTCTTCTTTTCTGGACTAAACATCACTGGCCCTTTCGACCATGCCTCTGATGTGTGTCCACTAGGCTGCCTGCAGTCCTATCCTGTGCAAGGTGCCTTCCTCTGGGACCCTCTAGTAAGACAATGGCCTTTTCTATTGAGGGTCTAGGATTGCCATAATGCACCTGGGACCAGGCCTGTGTGGTGTACATTGGCCCATCACCTCCCTTTTTGCGAACACATGCCTCTCTTAATCCAACCCAAGTCTAACACAAGAATTGCCATTCAGCTTTGCTGCCCCTCTTCCATATTAAAAGGATTTTTTTTTTAACCACAAAAGTTGGTCTTTTTCTTGATCTTTGTTAGTATGCATTTTGAGTTTTATTCTCTTATTCAACCTTTTCAGGTCTAATGGACTGTTATTTCTCCAAGTGTGATATGTAGTTCTCTGAAGTCCTCATTCAAAGCATAAGGTCACAGAGCCCTGAAACACATCATTAGAGACCCTGCTCATTAATCAGTATCTTGGGGGGCTCACTGATGGGCTTGGGGTATCCAGGTTAGTACTTATCTGGGATGAAGGTCCAAAGTTTTCATTAGATTCTCAAAGGGCTCCTTCTCCCAAAGAGGGTAAGAACCATGGGTAAGGCTTAATCTCCTGGTTTTCAGAAGAGGACAATGAGGCCGGAAAGGGAAACCTGACAAACCCCCTTGCCCGAGCCGCCACCCCCCTCCCGCCGCAACACGGTCATGTGACTAGCTCTGGGGAGAACCCAAGCTTCCTGACTCATTACAGCTCTCTTACCACTGCTTCTTTCTTAGGACTTGGGTGGACACTTCATGGTGAGGTATGGCTCTCCTCCAGGCAAGGACAGTGTCCCAATCAGAGCGTGTACTCGGGGTTGGCGTCAGGCCTGGGCCTCCCTGGCCTCAGATGTTTCCTCCCAGGCCCCAGGCCTGAAGCTCCCTCTAACTGCCACCAGGGGGCAGTGGCGCTTGGGCCGGCGGCACAAGTAGGACTTGACTCGGCCCAGCTCCCCCCTCCCCCGCACAAGGACCAGCTTCTCAAATGGTCTGCCTTTATTATGCCAACAGAAAAAAATTCCCCGAGTGTAAACAGAAGAAATGTGCTGGTTAAGTTACTCATCATTATCTTATTATTAACAAAATAAAGCACTATCTATGTTTACAGTCATAAAAAAAGAAACAGCCTGGAGAGAAGTTGGGCTTTGGGGAGGGGAGAGGTGGGGAGAAGATGGGGGACTCCACACCTGCCCCTTCCCACCCTGACCCACCTGGATCTTTGGAGTCAGGTGTAATAGGATTTACTTTTCTTGGGGAAATAACCTGTGAAAGTGAACAGGGGCAGAGGCAAGTTCTCCAGTGTGTGTGTGTGTGCGCGCGCGCGCGTGTGAGTGTGTGTGTGTGTGTGTGCGCGTGCGCGCGCGTGTGCATGTGCGCGCGTGTGAGTGTGTGTGTGTGTGTGTGCGCGTGCGCGCGCGTGTGTGCATGTGCGCGCGTGTGAGTGTGTGGGTGTGTGTGCGCGCGTGTGTGCGTGTGTGTGTGTGTGTGTGTGTTGGGGGGGAGGCAGGTGGAGGGCAGAGCTGGGAGGAGAGGGGAGGGGGGGATGGAGTACCAGTCTTCTCACCACCCCACCAACCCCTTCCAATAATGGAGAGCCTTCCCATCCCCTGCTCAAGAGGGAGGAATGGAGACCAGCTACTATGGGAGCCCCGTTCTCCGGGGTTTCTGTCACTGACAGGAAAAGGGACACCTTCAATCCTCCTGACCCCACGTCTGGCACACAGATTAGGGGACCAGGGTCTGGGGCACCAGGACAGAGCCCCTTGGAAGCTGAGCACATTCCCATGCTGCTGAGCTAAAAATGGCTTTGTGGGAACCGACCAGCAGAGTAAGGTTAAAGGGGCAGGCGTGGGAGGTCGGGGAGGCTGGTAGGCCCAGGGGCAGCCCAGGGGCCTTCGAAGACCCAGAGTGACCAGCAGGCAGAGGGGCAGAGTCAGACACTGAAGGGAGAGAGACACAAACGACCCTGCAGACAGACAAGGACAGAGAGAAACACACACAAGGATGCACAGAACCTGAGACACCCAGACTGACAAAGAGGTAGCAATTTGGGGACAAAGAACACAGAAAGAGGCCCCCAGAGAAGCAAGAGTGGCATCAATAGACACACCCGCAGGAACTCAGCAACAGTGCCTGGCACATAGTGGGCACTCAATAAATACCTTGTGCAACAAATGACCAGATGAAAACACGTGCGCACGTGTAACGTGCGCATGCAGCACACACACGCACACAGCAGCCAGAGGCACAACAGGCTTGGCAAAAGATAAAGACGGAGGGACAGCCAGATCTTTCTGCACAAAGTACAAAGTGATCCTGGTGATAGAGCAATCTGGGGTGTATGGGAGGGGTGTTGGTCCCATGGTGGCTGGTCCAGCCAGGACAAGAAGGGAAACAAAGCGTGTGGCACCAGGGGGACAGGTCTGGAGCTGCCATACCCCTAGGGCGGGCAGACCTGCAGGAAGGGAGGGTCATACAGTGTCCCCTGGCTATGAGCCCCAAGGGCCAAGGAGCTCAGCCATCGCCACCGTGCAGGTCCTGCCCACCTAGGCCAACAGCTGCTCAGTTGTGCCTGCAGGTGTGGTCGGGAGGGGGCCTGTATCTACAAGTACACAGCTGTGCCATCTCCCAGGCATGCCCAAGTCCAAGTACCAACAGAGTCCAGGCCGGCTGGCTGTGCCCTTCGCTCGGGGCCAGGTCTTCCCCAGGAGGAGGGCCAGGCCCACCCGGCCGAGATCAGTCCGTGAGCACCACCAGCTCCCCGTCACTCTTCTCCTCGCCTTCCGAGTCCTCGTCCTCGCTGTACCGGTACATCTCACCATCGGCCACCGAGTGCCTGTCCTCTGTGGCCTCAGCCTCTTCTCTGAGGCTGCAGGTGTTGACGATGACAGGCATGTTGGGGTCCAGGCTTCGGGGCACATAGTGTTCCATCAGGGGCTGTGCCACCCGAGGGTACAGGACATCTGAGGAGCTCATCTGCACCTGGCCAGCCTGAGGGCTGAGAGGCAGACAAGAGGTGGGTTCCAGAGGCACCTTCACTTCCACCCCCGAGGCCTCTTCAGGCCATGCCCTCTAACTCCACACCCTTTTGGCTCCGAGACACGCACTCTGCCCCCTGGTCTACTTTCTAATGGCCACAATCATTATCAGCTACAGCCCCACACAACATGCAGTCTTAGGGGCCATGGGTGTGTTCAAGATATTCCTGGAGGACCGTGTGTGAATCCCATTTTTGGAAATCGTACATTTAAATGCCTGTGTAAAGGAATCCACTAGGGTGCTTGCTTTGGTCAAGTCAGGACTCCTCTACATGATGAGTACCTCGATTTTTAGTACCCATGAATTTTTATTAAGTTTACCAGAAATGCGGTCCACAGGCACGTTTCCCCTGGTGCACGCCCGCCTCCCACACGCTCACCAGGTACCCACCACAGTCACAGTCACCCCTGCACTCACACACACAGGCCCAGCCACACACACACAAGGCTCTCTCACACACACCTCCGCCCACATACACTCACACAGACAACAGACACACATGTGCAGCACCCCTGCGGTCGGTCACACACAAAGGCAAGTCACGCGCTACCACGCAGCCACTCACGAGAGCTGCACACATCCATGCACATGCACTCATGGCCTCAGCCGCCTGGGGAAGGCTGCTCACGCGGTCATGTAGCTCTGGCGGGCATCCTGGCGTCGGGTCCTCATCAGGGCCTTGTACTCGCCCACTCGCAGCCGCTTGCCCTCCACAATGCAGGTGCGCTTGGGCCTCGGCTTGTACTTATAATCAGGATACTTCTCCAGGTGCTGCCGGCTCAGTCTTGCCTGCTCCTCGTAGTAGGGCTGCTTCTCCTGGTTGGTCATGGACTTCCAACGGGAGCCTGGCCCAGCCCCCAGGGCCAGGCAGTCAGCTCCGGGCTCTGCCGACCACCCCCAGCCCCCTGTAGGTGCCAATATATTTGGTCACCAGATATACGTGTAAGCATTTCGCAAGGACCTGGTCCAATGTGGTTGCTCCTTGGATGTCAGAGCAAATGAATGAAGGACGTGGGCATGTGTACGGCATCCAGTTGCCAGCTTAAGACACAGCACCCACCCATATCCCAAAGTACCCAGCAACCTCTGAGAGGCCTCTAGTCTGCCCGCTTTGCATAAACAAAAGAGCAGTTATCCTAGGCCCCCAATAACAGAGACAGACTCCCTGCTCAGGACAAAATACACGGGGTCTGTATCCATAAGAGACTTGCACAGACATCGGAGAAGCCTGTCTTAAAAACAACCGCCCTCTTCCAGCCCCACCTGCCCTGCCCTACCTCCCCCTCCTTGGCCTCCATCAGGACACGTCATTTAAAAAACCTTTCTACTGACAGCCCAAGAACACCAGTCTATCCTAATTCCTGCCGGAGCCAGCTCCGAGGCTCTGGGCAAACAGTGGAACAGGTTCTTTAGGGAGAGACGGGGAGAAGAGCTCTCTCTCACATTCTCATTCATCCCCCCCCCTTGTTCTTGAGTGCAGGTGCTAGCAGAAGAGCCCTACAATGGTATAAGACCCCAGGACCCAGATGCCCCACATCCCACCTGACTCGCACACCCCATCAGATTCCACTGGAGTTCAACATGGCGTGGATATCACCGAGCAGACCCTCAGTAGATCCAGCTGGCTCCTGCAACTGGGGGCCTGCTGCACCACGGCTTCTGGAGCCCCTACAGCTGCCGCAGACCTTCCCCACGGGCCCTTACCGAGGATTTTGCTGATGCTGGAGTTGTGCATGTCTGGGAAGGCTTGGAGGATCTTCCTCCGCTCGTCCTTGGCCCACACCATGAAGGCGTTCATGGGTCTCTTGATGTGGCTACTGTTCCGGGACTCCGGGAAGTGGCGCGAGCCTAAAGGACGGGTGGGGTAAGGGGGCAGAGGTCTGGGGTAAGGAAAATCCTCTAGGGCCAGCAGAAAATGTCCCATACTTGACCACTAGGGGGCGCTGGGGGGGGGACCACAGGGCCCAGGGATGGCCAGCAGCAAGATGTCAGCAGAGGCCCAGGGAGAGAGAGATACATAAGGGGACTCCACAGACAAAGGGAGAGAAGGGATGGAAGACAGAAACAACCTAACCCGCCATGGCCCTGGTGGGAAGCAGAAGTGAGCTCTCCTGCCCATCAGCCCAGTGCCCAGAGCCCTCACCGTCCACATCGCAGCCCAGCATGGCTTCCTCCAGTGGGTGCACACAGCTCTCCTCCAGCCGCTCCTTGACTGGGGACGTGTCCAGGCTGATGAGGTCCTGGGGTTGACAGGGGCAACCTATATATCCGCCTCTCTATGTCAGCCCACTTCTGCTCCCCCACCCCTCACTTTGGTGGCCTCGCTCTGTGTCTACTTCCCCTGGCCACCATCTGTTCCCTGCTCCCAGCACAGGGGATTGGGAGCCCATACCTTACGGAAAGGGGTGTTGGGGGAGCTTTCCAAGGCCGCACTGTGACCATGCAGCAGCTGTCGAGCATCCTGGATGGCCTTGGTGACAGCGTCCCCGTCACCAAGGAAGCCTATGGGGGTAGGAAAAGAAGAGAAGGGAGGGGAACCGAGGGGTCACCCCAGTTTGTGCCTTGCCCCTCCCCAGGGCTGTTGCACTGCACCTCCCCAAGGGGGCGCCATTTACACTGGCTGTTGTACCAACAGACTAGAAATGACAACAGCACCCCCTGAAATTGTGCAACCCAGTGACCTGAATCCCTGAGGCCAGGGTGCCCAGACAGATATGATGAGGGAGAGGAGGACGGGGCTCTTCTAAGACACTGAATGCTGAAACTAAAAGGGGCCGAGTGGTGCAAGTCTAACCCACAGAGGGGAAGTGTCATGACCAAGGTCATATCATGCCCTCCATCTTGACTCTCCCCTAGAAGAGGGCTGAGGGAAAGGTGTGGGAGGAGTAGAAAGCTTACCCAAAGGCAGGCTGGGGGGGCTGGACTGCAGGTCCCGTGTGGGGGCCCCATGGCTTGGGGGGCGGGGTCCACAGTTGCTCATCTTCAGGCTGGGGGAGCTGGAGGTGTTGGGCAGCTCGGGGGCCTTGGGCTTGGCTGTGAGGTTGAGGGGCTGAGAGGGCTCCTAGGGACGCATCCAGAGGTCAAAGAGTGAGAGACACCAAAGGAGACCCCCCCACAGAGGGACAGAGGGGACAAGGAAACCCAGAACAGACAAGGCGGCAGCCAGCCGTCCCAGCTAGGGTGGGAGCCCCAGGCCAGTTGGGGATGGGGGAACAGTACCTGCAGGGGGTGGTGGGCGGCCATGGCCCCCGGCCTCTTCACAGCTGGGGCAGAGGGGCTGTGTAGCAGCTGCAGCGGGTACTCCACTATGGAAAAGGCAGCAAGGAGAAAAGTCCTGGATGAGCACAGAACAGCAGACACCCTGCTTGACGAGGTCCCAGCAGCACACAGCGGACAGAGGCTCAGAGCTGGCCCAGCGTGCTTCCGACCACTGCCCTCCCTGGCCTCGAAGTGCTGCTGCTGAGGACCTCCTACGCCCTCGCCCCCAACTGCATATCCATCAGCACTGTCCCCGTCCCACCCTTCCCAACCCACTGAGCCTGGAGTCCCAAACCCAAGTTAAACAAGAACAGGGACACTATCTACTCATGCTTTGGAAACTTCTCTTTTGTACCTACTGTAGGCGGGGTACAAAAGCAGCTACCTCTTGTGTAGCCTGTCTCCTGTGCGTTATCTCACAATAAGCCTGAGTGTGTGGTATGTAGTAGGTACTCAATGCATCATTTCTTTTTACAGATAAACTGAGACCTGGAAAAATTAAATGGGTGGCCCGCAGTGAATCAATGGGAACACTGACATTTGAACCTGGGTCTTCTAGACGCCACAGCCTGTCCTCTCCCCTCTGTAGAGCACGTTCTCTCTCTTCTCCCTCGCCTACCTCACTCTCCTCCACCAGGCCCAGCATCAAGGGGTTGACTCTCAGGTGGAGAGACAGCCGTGTATACAAATCACTAAACGGAAGGCCTGTGGTGATATGGGCTGTGTGGGTAGCATTCGAGAGAACTTTGTTCCAGACGGAGGAACTGGAACAGGCTTCCTGGTTGGGGGAGGGAGGGGGGGCAGACGGGGTGGTGGGTTATGAGAGCTAGATGTGGGGCATGAGACTGGCATGTGATGGGCAAGGTGGCCTCACGGCCTATGAAGGCTGAACTCAGGAGTCTGGACGACTCCAGGCTATAGGCAGGCGCCATCTACCACGCCACTCACTCCGCTTAAGGAAGGGGCATCTGGCAGCCCGCAGGCCCCCCGCTTACTATAGAATTCTGGAGCAAATGAAGCAGGTGGCAGCCTGGCCAGTCCAGGTCTTCCACAGCTCAGTTCCGATCTCCCTCGCCCGGAAAGTACATGGCCCCTCCTCTGCCCAGTCCCCTGCCCTCACCCCTGCGGGTCTGCTCCATGTTTACGTGGAGCTGTAACCGTTTGTGCTGTTGCCCTGTCCCTCCCGTTCAACCTTTCGCCTTCCCAGTCTCGCCCTCAACTGGGATCTTCCCTCAAGCAGGAGTCAGTGGAGCTGACCAGTGAACTGTGCCCTTGGCCCCAGGCTTGGTGGTGGACCCGTGGGAGCTCATCTGTTCCCCATCCTGGGGCCATTATGGGCAGCATCTCTGCCCTGTCCCTGTGACCATCCACAAGGACTCAGTGATCATGGCCTAATAATTCTCCCTCTGCCGCCGTCCCACTGTCACTGCCCTTGTTCAGGCTGCCATCCCCTAGTGCTAGCATCACCTCAACAGCCCCCTACCTAGTTCTGCCTTTAGTTGGTACCCCTCCCTCCCCTCTGACACACAACCAACATGACAGCACATCCTCTGCTCAAACATTCAAGCACACCCCACATTCTACAAAATGTATCCTAGATCTGTGCTCAGTCCCAACTGCCCGTCCCAGCCATGTCCCCACTACCCTGTTATGCGCTCCCCTCAACTCCGGCTTCCTCCTCAGGCTCCAGGGCCTCTGCCTGGGCCACTTTTCCTGTGCCCTCTACCCTCAGCTCCCAGCTCCATTCTTCTCACAAGTCCACACTCCCAGGACCCAGTCAAGCAGCATCTCCCGAAGAACCTTCCCAGAGACTCTGGTTGTTGCCATACTTCTTTCTCCCTTCCAAGACTGTCAATTCATTCCTGGAGCTGCAAGTCTACCTTTTATATGCCCATGGCCACCCAGCAACTCTACAGCATCTGACATGTGGTCGGTGCTCAGTCTGTGTTCACTGAGTTTCAGTGACGGGGCAGAAGGTAGGAGTGACATGGTCGGGGCAGGAATAAAACTATGAATTTGGGAGATGTATAAACCTCAGTTAATGTTCAAAATATTAATACTCTGGTACAGTAAATGTGCCAGAACTGGGGAGACTAGACCTAGATTGGCCACATCTGCTTATATCTGGAAAGCACTTTATGGTTTTCAAAGTGCTATTTTTCATTCTTTCAGTGACGCTCAGAAACAAGGGGTTATTCTTTCACTGGACATATCCCAAACCAAGGCCCAGAAAGTCCACACTGTAAATTAATGGATGAAAGCGGTTCTGGGCCTCCCTCCCTGACCTTGGGACAGCCTCAGTGGCGGGACCACCCACCCACACTCACCTGGTTTGCAGGGGATTGGCTGAATGGGCAAAGCCAGCTGAGAGTCAGGGGTGACAGGCAGAGGTTGGTGGCTTGGGGGGAAGGCTGGGATCATAACATAAGGCATGTTGACCTGCTGAGAGCAAAGAAACTCTGTGAGTCCCTGGGGGCCCAAACAGCTACCCAGCTATGGTCAGGCCTGGACAGAGGGTGGACCCAGGGATGAGAGGCACAGGCCTGGGGCAGGGACAATCCCCAAAGGATCCATCTGACCCCACACCACCTCCCTGGGCCCCTGTCTACCTGCCCTCAGGTCCCAGATGGGGAGGAAGATATTCTGGGTCCCTCCCTTGAAACAGGGGAAGACAGGAGAGGAGGATAGAGCCCCCTCCTCAGGGTCACGCCTGAGTGATTCTGCCTGTTCCTCCCTGTCCCCAACACCTCTCCAGGCTGCTATCAACCCCTCAGCCTCCAGCTCTCCCATCGCCCAGCCCTCCCCCTCTTGTCACCTGGATCTGCTGCTGAAGGAGGTTGATTTTGTGCTGCTGCTGAATTAGCTGTTGCTGCTGCTTAGCAATCTGGCAAAGGGAAGAGTAGGCAAAGGGGGCATGGGCATAGGCCCCAGAGCCCCATCCCCCAGAGCCTTCCAAGCCCCAATGACACCCTGCTTTCCAGGAGTGCAACCAGGGAGGAGAACTGGCTGGCGTGAGAAGCAGAACAGCCAGCCCTCAGGATTTATTCTCCTTTTACCAGGAGCTCGCCCTCCCCTCTGAGGCCAGGGATGAAGAATGGGCAGGGCCCCTCAGGACCCCTCCACTTCACCCCCTTGCCCCCCGCAAAGGCTTACGAATAGTCAGAGGTGGGAATCCCATGGCCCTGCCGGCAGCCCCCTCCCCCACGGCTCCCAGGCCTCCACCTGCACGGGCTCAGCCTGCCCCCAAGGTGCTCCCCTCTAGGTCCTGACAGACACCTCCCCTGGAAAGAAAGCCAGACCCCAATCGAGGCCTACCTGTTCCTGCTGCTGCCGCGCCAGCTCCATCTGCTGCTGCTGCTTCTCAAAGAGCATGGCAGCCATGTTCTTCTGCTCTGAGTGGGCTGTCAGGAGCTGGTCCCGCAGGGTGGACAGCTGATGGATCATGACCAGAAGCTGGAGTTCCTTCTCTGCCAGGCTCTCCTGCGTCCCTGCTCCACAGTGAAACAACCACCATTGAGAACTTCTGTTTGTCCATCCATCTAGCCGTCCATCCATTTGACATTTTATTGAGCAACTGCTCTGTCCCAGCCCGTCAGGGTCTGAGCAACAGAGGTCATTGATACGCCAAGCCTTGCCCTGGAGGGGCTCCTCAAGTAACAACCAGCTGCCCTAGAAGTAACGATCAGCCACTGATTTCAGCCCTGGAAATGCTGATGGTGGGGCATCTCAGCACCAATCACCTCTTGGACATCCTCGAACGCCCAGTGCCACAGGGTCAGGGTGACAACCAATCCACAGGAGGGGCCCAGCAGGACATGCTCAGGCTTTGGAGCGAGACAGATCAGGGTTCAAATCACCCTTTCAACCCATCCTGCCTGGGAGCTATTAGTTAAGTTATCAACTTTTCTGACCTTGAGGTTTTTTTCATCTATTGGGCTGTCGGGAAAGTCACGACGCATTTTTTCTATTGTTTTTCGTTGCAAAAATGCGTCGTGACTTTTCCAACAACCCAATATAAGTGAGTGCACTAATTGTCACTTCACAGGGTTCTGCGAGGGTTAAAGGGATAATGAATGTAAAGCTTTCAGTCCAGGATCTGGAACATGTTCCTCAAACAACAACTGTTAGTGCTTCCTCGCCCTCCAATTTAGCTAACGGTCAGATGCAGAAGTGCCAGGCCGCAGACTGTTTGCATCAGAATTACTCAAGGAGCCTTTAAAAATACAGATGCCCCAGGGCCCCATCCTCTGGGGTTCTCATTCAGTGGGGTAGAAGTGGAGCCTGAGCATTTGCATAGTTTTAAAGTGCCCTCTGTGATTGAGACACCCACTTCACTAAGCAAACCATACAAACCTTGACAGACAGCCTTGCAAAGTTCTTAGAATTATCACTGACCCTATCATCCTCAATTATCAGACAAGGTAAAGAGAACGAATGGCAAAACTGGATTCAAGCAGAACAAGTTTAACTACACAGGACTGAATGAACTGATGAAAATGGTTACAATTTTTATGACATTTTTTGTTTGAGATTGCTGATTTTTTAAATCTTTTGTTTTCCACACAAAAGGAAACTTGTTTCTCTTAAACTACCTATGACTTAGCAATTTGGTAAATTATACCTTTGTAAGCAGTATTGAAACGTTTATATTTTTCTCCCTACCTGATTCCTCCAGAATTTTAATAGGTGAGAATTATTATTTTCATGGCATTGTGGTTATTTGCATAAGTTCAGTAAGAATCTGTTCTCCTTGTAACAGGACACAATTAGAAGCTGATTTTATTACCAAGGCTTTGACTGGAATGTCATATTTGAGAAAGATGCATAGACTCAGATATGACCAGTTTTAAGGACTTAAGATTGACTTATGGAAGCCAATAAAACCCTTGGAAATACTGGCCTGGTATCTCGCCTACAGGGTTCCCAGCAGCCTTACCATGTGAGTAAAGCATGTCACTTCTTGGCAGGTGTGGGAACCTCAGGACATCCTGGGAGCCTCAAGAAGAGAGGAACTCACGCAAACCTACAGGTATTGCAGGCGATGCCTGATGGCAAGTCCTTGCCTTGGCTTTTCTGGCCTTGAGAGGCCTTGTTAAATTCACTCTGAAGATTCCTTATGGAAAATTCCAGCTAAGCAGATTTAAAAGAGCCTATCTGGTTAATTACTATTCTTGCTGGATTTATATAAATAATCAGGCCAAGTTTTTGCAACCAGACTTATTTTGCACATAAGTTAGTCCTAATTTGGCTACCTTTGATAAAAATGGGAGTGATTTTAGACAGAAAAATGGTTTCAACAGAAACTATAATATACCTTTGTGGAAATTAGATTCTAGTGCTGTTCACTGTCTTTTGAATTTTTAAAATTTTCTACGTATTACCTATAAACTGGACTGGATCCTGAGTTTTTCTAGTTTTCTTAAATATTTGGCTGTAGTCCTCTGAACTAACTGTCATTTTCCCACCCTTTGACATGGAATCTTTGAGAGCTAAAACTGCTCTTTTCCAAGGCAATGCAAGCTAAAGTTAGACAGCTTGATATAAACTTCAGAGAAATTACCACAACCGCTCATCTATGGACAGTCTTCACGCCTGTTGCAGAAAGATCACCAGAGACATTCAAACTGCAGACCAGGGGAATCTATCAGGCTGTAACGTCTGCCTTCACTCCATCTGAAGATGCTTCGAGCCAGACCTCTAGAAATCTTCTTCACTGGCTGCCTTCAGAACTCAGAAACCAAGATTCTAGTCTACTTCAATCATTAACCTTTGTTTTTCTTTAGTTTCCATAGAGATGCCTCTTATTAAAACTCGATTGCTTGCAGGCCGGCTGAGTGGCGCTATGGTTAAGAACTGGCTTGGGACGCCAGAGGGCCCCGGTTCGGATCCCACATATGAGGGCCAGTGACACTGCCCTCTACAGCTAAGATGCTGAACAACAGCTCGACCTGGAGCTGGGCTGCCGTGAGTCGCCAGCGACGGCGTAGGCTGCAGCCCCTGTGGCAGTGGGTTGCCATGGGCTACCGTGTGTAGTCAGCAGCCAGCGTGAGCGGCCAGCAGCTGCAGTGAGCCGCTGTCCAGAAGCCGGCGACTGAGCTGCCTTGCCCGGGAAGAGTGCAATGATGGTGCCAACTTGGGCCAGTGAAGCAACGTCCCCCACAACTAGACTGAAGAACAAAAGGACAGCAACTTCTCTGTTCCCATCCCCCCAATTCCCCAATAAAAAAAAAAACTTGAACGCTTGCACCATGGGCTTAACTTTGGGAGCTCACCGGCATCCCCATCTCCTGAAATGAGACACAAGTTGAACTAAAATGAACTGGTCTCAAGACTCCGACTGGTTTAACGATAAAACAGTCTATGAGCCCAGCTTGTGGAATGTGAAACTTCCAGGGAAGTTTCAGAGAAGGGAACTGTGGGGGTTCAGAAGGAGACACCCTGAGATGTGCCCCAGTGGTATACAGATTATTTTGAGCTAAAGGCGATTTTAGTTGCAGGCTCAAGAGAAACTTCTGCCCCTCCTTTTAGCTATCTAGAAGAACTTGAATTAGAGGCCTTGACCATAGTAAGAGATTATCAATGATAATCTCTTTTTGACCCACCTCTATGGCAGGGCAAGCTTTTATTTACTAAACATCTGCTCTTCCTATCATCCTGAAGTGACCCTTTGAAGCCCCGAAGGGGCATCACCTCATCCCTACCTCAGCATGGCTTACATTCCCACACGCCCTGTCTCTGAACCTCTCGTGCATGTGGGGGCTGACTCTCTCATGTATGCGACATTCCCATACATATGTATTAAAGTTGGTTACTTCCTATTGCTAAAAAAAAATAAGAAAACGAAAAAGTGCCCTCTGTGAGTGTGATCAACCACATCGGGAAAATTATCACTCTAATGACTTCACTAAGCAGCCCTTAGTGAGGTCCTGCGGGCCTAGAATTAATTTTCAGAAGTGAAAGGGAACGTGTGGCTCATTTTATAGTTATATCTGGGAAGTGGAAATGAAATGCCCGAGGTCACAAGGGTCCCTGGGAAGAGCCAAACCCACAGCACCCATGGGATTTGATTCCCTCCGGGCCTTGCTGCCCGGGAATGAGCCAGACTTAATGTCTGGTCCCCAGGTGAGGGGATGTGCTGACCCCTAGAGCCAGGAAGGACCAGAGTGGCACCGGTCAGGTCTGAGGGCACCAAGAACCCCAAGAATGGCCCTATAGGCCCAGACTGCATAGCCAGGCTGGGAGAAGGACGGAGGTTCAGACATCCCTCCCCTGCTCACCCCCATGGCCTTCACCTTTGACATCTTTGGTTTCCACAGAGCTTCTTCCCAGAAACCTCTCCTTCCAGTCACTGGACAGCAGCTTCTCGATGGCTGGCACGACTAGAAGATACCAAAGGGATGAGGAGCACCATTCCTGTCACCTCCCCCAGCCCCGGACCCCTATCTCTAACTAGGGCAGACATCTTACCTTCTTTTAAATTTCGGTTGAAGTCCAGCTTCTCCTGGCTTCCAGAAGCAGCCTCGGAGCCTCCTGGTCTCTTGGGTTCCAGAGACCCATTGCTCTCTGGTGAGCCGCAATCCTGTAAGACACACTGAATGTCACTGTCGCCTCCAAGAGAAGTGGGGGGGGGGCCAGACAGCAGCAAGGGCTGAGCACCCCAGGTACATAGACCCTGAAGGAATCCCAGAGTCCACTGGCCCCCCACGTAAGACCCTCCCTACCTCCCCTATCTTTGCTCTGGCTTCGCCTGATATACTGAAAAGACAAAAAGGTTTAAAGACAAAAGACCTGGCTCAGTCAAGGCTCAGTGACTCACAAGGTGCTTGATCCCACATGAATCCCTGAACTTCTCTGAACCTGATTTCCCTCTGTTGAAAATGGAAATACTCATACCTCCCCGGTCACAGGATTGTGCTGGGATCAGGGAGTTAATGCATGTGGATGAGGTTTGCCACTGCAGAGCAGGGGCTGAAAGCCAGCTCTTATTATTCCTCACCCCTCCTGCCAGGCCGGTCACTCCCAAGGACCCCACTCCGCGCGTCCTTAAGACACCATCCCCTCTTTCTTCTTCTCATCTGCGTTCTCTCCATTCTTTAAGGCCCAGCTTCAGACCCTACTTCTCCAGGAAGTCTTCCTCCATCACCATCCAGCCTCCTAACCCTCTCCACACACTCCTCCAGGATGCAGCCTTCCTCAGAACCCTAAAACTCTATTTTCACCTCATTTGGCTTTCCATTATATACTCCTTTTTTAAATCTCTTTATGGATTCATAGAATTTTTTTTTTTTAAGATTGTATTAGGGAATTGGGGGAGGGGAACAACGTTGGGGAATCGGAGAAGGGGAACAGACAAGTTGCTGTCCTTTTGGTTCTTCAGTCTAGTTGTGGAGGACGTCGCTTCACTGGCCCATGTTGGTATTATCATTGCTCTTCCCAGTGAGGCAGATCGGTTGCCAGCCATTGGATGGCCGCTCACGGCAGCTCATAAAAGCACATGCCAGCTGCCGGCCAGCCCCACTGCAGCCTACGCTGTTGCCAGCGACTCACGGCAGCCCAGCTCCAGGTCGAGCTGTTGTTCACCATCTTGGCTGTAGAGGGCAGTGTCACTGGCCCTCATGTGGGATCTGAACCAGGGTGATGCTGCTCAGAGCTGGGGTTCCAAGCCAACTCTTAACCAACGCGCCACTCGGCCGGCCCCATGGAATTTTTTAAAGCTGCAAGAATCCTTACTGCTCATGTAATTTCGCTCCTTCGTTTTAAGGATCAAGAATTGTACTGTCTTTAACAGCAATTTAACTCTGGCTTCAGTATTAAGGCTGATTTTCTCAACTCCTATGAAAAAGCTGATAGATTACCTTTACCCTTTGAGCAGCTAGCGGGGTGGGTGCCTGCCTGGCCTAGTGGAGAGGGCAAGGGTGGTGTGGTGGGGACACTGGTGGGACACTGAAAAGTGCTGGGTCACCTGGGCTGGAGCCTGGGGGTCAGCACAATCCTGGGTGGCCCGGGCTGGGTCTCCGGGCTGGGGTTCAGCTGCAGCGGCCGAGCCCTGGGGGGCTTCGTTGCAGGGCCCCTTCTTCTCCTCTGACTTGACAGTACAGTTCACCATGGTGCCACCGCCATCCAAGGCCAGCTGGGCAGGGCCGGGGCTCCTCATGGACATCCTAAGAGAGGAGGGGCACAGTGAGCACGGCGTGTCCTGAGGCCCAGGAGGAGCAGCGCCACCCGCCGCCGTCCTCCAACTCCAAACAGGAACACAGGCGACAAAAGCTCCCATCGGGGACCCACAAGAGAAAAACTGAAAAGTTTCTTCTGACTTTTTTTTAATCGGAAGCTGTAGAGGAGATTGGGCCCAGCCTTTGGCACCCCCTGCCGGTTGCAGTGTTGGGGCTCGTGGCTGACGGGTCCATCTAAGGAGGCCAGGATTGTTAAGTGGCTGTTTCTGGGCCCAACAAAGCCAAGGTTATACATACATGTATGTGTATGTTTGTGTGCATACATATTTGTCATTAGTTACCAAAATTTAAAAATTAAGAGGTTATCATAAAAATCTTTGAACTTCTCCCGAACTTGGTCTGTGGCAACAATTGGCTAGAAATGAAGTTCCCCTTATGGCAGCGG